TTCAAATACAAGTTCTAGGGGCTCCTAGAGATTTATTAGCATTTTCTCTGTAGATGATCATTTCATCTACATATAAAGATTTTACTTCTACCTTGCCGATCCTATCCTAATTGTGTAATTTTATTGCCAGACTATTTTGATTTGGGCCTATGTTTCAAAGTTTAATGGACAGATGAAGAGTAGGCATACCTGCCCTCATTCCCCACCTTGTATCTTTTCCATTTATATACGGTGTTTTTGCTGGAAGTATGGAGTACATGTCTTTGATCTGTTGAGAAGATTCTGTTCTACTTCTAGTCTCCTTATAGCTTTTACCATGAACAGCTGTAGAATTTAGTCCAATACTTTTTCTGCAACTACTGATAAGATCATATGCCTTTTTCCTTTCCTCTGTTAAAATGATGACTTTTGGTGATGGATCTTTCAATGCTGAACCAACACTGCCATCCCAATAATAAAACCATTTTCCACATACTGCCAGATCTCACTTCTAATAGTTTGTTTTGTCAAACAAATTTTTATCTATGTTCATACTTTTTTCTTCTATTATCTTTATCCAGTTTTACTATTAGCACAATGCTGATTTCCTAAAATGAGGCGAGAAGTGTTCCTTCTTTTTTCTGCTATACATGTTTGCTATAATTCATCAGTTAAAATATATGTGAGCCTGTTGTTGTCATATAGGTAAGTTTTGAAGCTAGGAATATACTTTCTTTAATAGGTGCTATTCAAATTTTATATTTCTCCCAGAGTCAGTTTCACTAATTTGTCTTCCAAGGTACTTCATAGAAGTTGTCAAATTTATTTCAAAAAAGATTTTTGTAATATGTCTTCTATATCCTTTTAAATTCTGTAAAATCTGTGGTAATGCTTCCTAGATCTTGATATTGTAATTTAAAAAATGTATAATTGATATTGTGTAATAGGAAGAAAAGATCTAAAGGAGTAGGGGAAGTGGGAGGGGTAGGGGAAAGGAAAGAGGAGAAAAGAAAAAATATGAAAAAAGGAAAAAATGGAAACAAAGTCTTTGTGAATAGGAAAGGGCTGAGGGGGTTAAGGGAGGCAGGGGAATGGGGAAAAAAATAAGAACCAAGATACATCATGCAAATGTACAAGATCCCAATGATGAATGTAACTGTATTTTATAGCTAAAATGTACCAATAAACTTAATTGAAAAAAATTAATTGAAGGAGGATGTATAAATTAGAAAGAGGTGACCTTTTTTAAGTCACATGATGACAAAAAATGACTCATCCTGGCTATACATAAATATTATTAACTCAATTAAATTGTAGCTATTTCGGGTTTTAAGATTCTCCAATGTGTGCTTTTAAAGTGTTCATGGACTTCAGATGTGCTGGTAGATGCTATGCTGAAATGAGCAGACATGAGAAGAATACCATAGGAGAAGAAAAGGAAAAACTTTGTGAATCTCCAGGGAGCTCCTGATAGAGAGGAACTTTTCTAACTTCTTTTTCATACATATCAGCATAGTTTTTTTAAAAAGATTATTTCCAAAGAAAAATGACATCACAAATGACCCATTTGTGACACGAGCAATTTTTTAAAGGAAATAGGTCACCCTGTGAACCCGGAGATCAGAGTTGCTTTAATGCCATCTTGGCCTTCACAGAAGATAACCCTATGGGGTGGCTCAGTTTGAACCAGGAAACCATGCATGAGTAACAAACTTCGCAAGTCTCATGCTGGTGATAGGAAGAGAATATCTGCAAGGTAAGTAAGGCCACAGAGGAAATGTAATAAAAGGTTTATTATTTTGGCAAATATGCTGCATTTAAACACATATTTGCTTGTTATACTCCATAGGTTAGCCCTATGAAGATGATTTAAGGTGCTGCTGGTCTATTCTTCGGCCAGTTTATGAGCCCAGAGAATGTGCACCTATGCTGTCTTTACCTGCTAAGTTTCTGACTTTTCCAGTCCCCCAGGTTCATAGCTGTGTGCCAAATAGTCCCTGAGACTCAGCTTTAGATGAACAAGTTGGTTTTCTCCATTTCCACACTGAGCTTCTTCTCCATGCTTCTTAGAGGCATTGCTTTAGGTAACTGAGGAGGTTCCTGGTAGGTTTACTCTATTCTTCCTCAGGTAATTTCTTCTTCGGTGGCTATATAACTTAAAACCACTCAATGGGTTAAATGACTGTAAGTAGAGAAAATCCCATTTGTAAAAATAAATTTGCACATACAGAATTTATAATGCACGTAACTGAACAAAAATACTCTGCAAGCCAACTAAGATTTTGAAATTCTCATTGAACATTTGAACAGATCACCTGCCCTTTTCAAGCCAAAAGCTGATAGCAGCATTTCTGGCACACGTCAGCAATGAAACTTCACACAAATGTCCTTGTGATCTTTCCTCCTTGGTATGTTGCAAACTGTTTTCATGTTTCTCATACCCAGACCAGAATACTTACAAATATGCAGATGCAGTTTTTCTATGTTCTCCATGACCTGCCTTATGTCATTTAGTTAACATATAAATTCATATATATTCAGAAGATTTAACAATATATGCTCTGAATCCTTAGAGAACATGATGATCATTACAATCTAAATGGGTACTAAGTTGTGTTGCAGCATGCAATATTTGAAGCTAGAGACAAGGGCCAAGTTACAATTTTGTTTCTGTGTGACATCCATCCCATATAATCTTATGTCACATGTGGTCCTCTGAAAGTCAGCCCTGTGGTCCTCGTTAGCCTTAGGACTGTATCATTGGATAAAGTAACCAGGAAATATCTCATTGCTTCTCCTATAGTTTCCCCTGGGCACTCATCGTACAACCATTCGATGGAAAACAGAAGCCATCCCATTCCCTTTTCCTAAGAGCTAAGTTTCTGCAGCAGTCAAAGGGAATCCCATGCATGTTGCTGGGAAGAGCTCAAGGACATAGAAATTCATTCTGTGGAACATAATCAGGCTCTTGGGCTCATTCCCACAGCTATCCACACTCTAGTGGGGAGGAGCTGAGAACTTTGGAGAGGTGCAGAGACATGTACAGGGCCACCGTATCAGTCCTTGGACTGGTACCAACCTCTCCATCCCCAAGTAAACGTGGGATAATGTGTTCCACTCTTCACAGGCAAATCAAGTCATGGAAATTATTTTATGAAAAGTACCTGGGAGTTTGGCCAAAGTCTTTTTTGGTTCAATAAACCATATATTATTAATGCATTATTGCATAATGATTGCACAGTCTGACTTTTTTCCTCCTGTGCACGCTGTGGTGGTCTTCCCCTGTTTTGGAGTGTGCAGAATGTATAAAAACTCAGTCCGTGCTGAATTTTAAAATTTGATCATCTGAATATTGGTAAAAAGATTCTTTCTGGTGAATGCAGGTCTTCTGAACAATTGTTGACTTTGTCATTAGGCTCACCTTTCAGAAGATGGAAAAAAAGAAACAAAAAAATTATTTTTGTGAATAAAGTCTGAGCAACTGGGGAGAAACTCAAGGTGAAGTAAAATGATAAAGAACCTTGGAAGAAAGTAATCATGTCATATTACAGTTCATAATACATGGAGATGAAAGTATAGAGAATAACACAATATACAGATTTTTAAATCAGAGGAAAAGTAGAGTTCATAAGTGGAGACTATAAAACTTAAGAAAGTCAAAAAGATCAAGATTCTTAAAACATTCTAATTGTACAACCATGGAAGACATTGAAGGGGGCAGTTTAAAAAACTAGTGCATTACAAGAGGGTTTGTTATCTATTTTTAGAATGATTTTGTCCAGAAAAGGGAAGGGTAAGCATATAACGAAAGCTGTGAAAAGAGTAGTTTTTCATACAGATTGAAGTATGGTGCTATCTTATTCACCTTTGTAACACTAGTATCTACTAGAATGCTAAGATCACAACGCTCTTTTCATTGATTCTACAGTTTTGAGAACTTTTATCATGGCTCATATGAGAAGTTGCTACTGAGGTGGTAATATGTGATGAAATGCAGAGACTGAGAGGGGCAGCAAAAGATACAAATGTATGGTAGCACAGACATCTAGTTGCCTACCCTGTACATGCACCTTCTTTTCTTCATTAGGAACAGAACTATGGCTTCATTTGGCAGGGCTGGCAATATGTCCAAAGAAAAACACATTTTCAGCCTGCGTTACAGCTTGGTATGACCCTGTGATTATATTTGGGTCAATGAAATGCAACAGCAGATGTTAACATGACTTCTGGGTTGGTTGAGATCACCTAGCCTGGAAGAGTGGTCCTTTTATCCTTTGCTATTCTAGCTACTATCATATTGTAGTTCAGTCATGATGGCTGGTCTCAAGCAGCCATCTTAGGCCATGCCATAGTAGAAAGGATCAGGAAGTTATACACTGAAGAGAGTGAAGAATAAAGATAGAAACCAAGGTTATTGATGGCTCTGTAGTTCCACATTTGAATTTTTTTACTACAAATCAACACTTCTATTTTGGTTAAGGATATGCTATTTTGAGGTGTCTGTTATATGCAGTTCAACTTAATCCTAACTAGTAATATAACCAGGAAGAAGCTCAGAGAAAAGACATATGAGCACATGTAAATCCCAAGGGGGAAAAACATTGAAAAGAATTCTATCACCTTGTAGCTACTTAAGGATAGAAATGGTGATTTATAGGAGACACAACATATTCAATAAAAATTATTAATGCCAAAGTATGGACATTTTGGGTGACTTTATTATCAGATTATCAGCTTTCATTCACTAGCTCACATTTTTAGAGGATTTACTACTTGCCAGGTGCTGTTTTAAGCATTTTATATGTATTATATGTTATAGTCACTACAACAGATATGACTAAAATTTAGGTACTGTAAATAATGAAATGGCAGCCCTGAGATTTAAATAACAGATTTGATCTACTGTAACAATTATTTAATGATGGAGACAGGATAAAACTCAAGTGAGTTCAGAGCTACGTTAACTAGTATGCAAGGTGTGATCAAAACATGCAATCGATGTTTACATTTTTTAAATTATTATAGGAAAAGGCACATTGCCATTACTCAGCCTCAAAATACCACCACACTCCTTGTTTTGAACACACTTACCCCATCATTCTTGCCACTTACTGAAGCAGTTCTAGAGCCTTTAGTTGTTCTGTCATGGCTGCCCCAATGTCCTGAATCTATTAAAAATGCTTATCTTTCATCACCATTTTGACTTTGGGGAAGAACCAGAAGTTGCATGGTGCCAGATCTAGTGAATACTAGATAGGTAGATAGGGTCACACTGTAATGTTATTTGACAGAAATTCCTATAAGAATTTCAAATTAATTCCGGATATCAAGGCAACCACAAAGAAACACTGTCTCTCAGTGTACTAGTACAGATAAGGCTACTGAATACAATTTTATATGTATTAGTGGGGTAGAGAATTTTATATGTATTGGTGGTGGGGTAGAGAAATGTGAGATGTGCATTTAGATAAATTCAATAAGCTCAAGCAACATTAACCTGGAAGTCTCCTGATTCTTGCCCAAGTTTCTTATTCAAATAATTCCTGTTTAAGGATTTTATTAATGGCTGTGAATATAAAAAATATGTTTATCAGGGGCCGGGAATTTAGCTCAGTGGTTCCACCGCCTGCCTCACAAGTTCAAGGATCCAAGTTCGATCCCCGGTACTAAAAAAAAAAAACAAAAAGATATGTTTATCAAGCATGCAAAAGTAGAATAAGTTCAGCCTGGAAAACAGAAAACTCGTGGAAATATTGTAGTCTCATTAAGCACTTATTCTATATATATATATATATATATATATTTTTTTTTTGAGGCTGCCTCTTGCCAGGCAGTCCAGGCTGAACTTGAACTTGCTGTGTACCTATCCCAGACTGCCCTCGAACATGCCCTCCTCCTGCCTCAGGTCCTGAGTGCTGGGATTATACGCATTTGCCATCATGTCTTGCATTAGTTTATAATTTTAAAGCTTTAAATGCCTCCAACATCATCAGTGCATGCCCTTTAGGGATGGTGAAATGCAAAGTGTCACGAGACCTATAGAGACAATATTTTGCACTATCATAATATTTGCCACTTTTTGAACACTTTCATGTGCATTAGCCCTTTGATCAAAAATTTTCCTTTTATGGCATTATTACAAAGATACACTAGTAAGTCTGTGGGCTTTTGGGGTTTTTTTTGGTACTGGGGATGGAACTCAGGACCTTGCACTTGTGAGGCAGGCACAGTGCCACTGAGCTAAATCCCTGGCCCCACTAGTAAGTTTGTAAAAGTAACAAAACAACGTGAGTTCACAAACCCTTATATTTGCAGCAATTTGCAAAAGTAAAATACTGACAACAACCCCCAAATTAATCAACTATGCAGTTACTGAATATACTGTAATATACCCACATCATAGCATTATAAAAAAGTGAAGAATTGGCAAGATTCAATGTAAGATGAATAAAGCAATGTGCTGATAAGATTATATAACATGCTACCTTTTACTTAAGAAAGTTTTATTGGAGGTGGATGCAGAGAAAGATGACTATATTTGCATATTAAAACTAAAAAGACAAACTACAGTTCTTTAAAAATGCTATTACGGAAAAATAGAGGTAATGAAGATAGATATTAGAGTTGAATATGCCTTGTTTATATATTTGCCTTTCAGAGCCATATATGTGACTATAAAATAAAACGATATTTAAAAGCGTAATCCCTTGTAACTGAAAGGAAATGGAAGAAAAAGGATACTAACTGTGCATCTGTGCATGAGGAGGAACAAATTTGGGTGGCTTCAGAACACATTCATTTGTCTGTTCATCTGAAATGAAGAATTGCAAAATGTAGAAAATACTCCTAAACTGTTTTTAGTCTTCAGACTGTAGAAACTAGTGCAGGTATTATTAATCTGAGACTGTTGTGTGTGTGTGTGTGTGTGTATTGTGAAAAAATAAAGTAGTTTAGTGTTAAGAATGGATTCTTCAGGGCCGGGGATTTAGCTCAGTGGTTCTGCCGCCTGCCTCGCAAGTCCAAGGACCTGAGTTCGATCCCCGGTACCAAAAAAAAATGGATTCTTCAGAGGACAACACATATATACACACATATATAAAACATATACACATGTACACAAATATATGTATGCATATATTTGAGACTAGGTTACTGCAGTTCTGAATTTGAAATGAAAGAATAAGGTTGAACTGATGTATTTTTGTCTTTAAAGAGCCACAAATAATGAACAACCCAATAGTAAAAAGCACTTTTTCACCTATACTGCGGTTTCTAAGTACTATTTTCTCACTAAAATGAAATTGGCCTTCTTAGAAAGGAATGTTTGGGCCAAGACATAAGATTTAAAAAAGTATGAGAATTCTGGAATTTTGTCATACTAAAAAGGAAGGAAGTTATCGATGACCACTTGGGTTATGTCAATGAGACCTCCCTTAGGAAAACTGGGGCCAGCTGAGCATTATCAAGAACACTAATTTCAGTCAGATAAAGCACACCAAATATGTTTATGAGTTCATAATAACATTTTTAAAACTCTTATTGATCATCTCTATTGAAGATGATATTAGGGAACTGATTATTTTAACAATTAATAAGTGAAGATAAATGTGTTTATCTGCCTTTCCCATATAAACTATCAGGTAAACAAATGATTGACAGGCAGAGTGACTTCTTATGGAAGCATTCCAGCTAAAAACCAACGGGAATGGTACAAGTCACACGTCATTTTACCATATCTCATTTTACCATAAGTTAATGGATTTAGATAAAAGTCATCAGCAGCTGTAAGCATCACAGAAAAGAGGGGCATCACATGCGCTGTTCCTCCTAGGAGAAATCCTGAATCAATCCTGAACCAGAATCTCTTCAGACTTCCAGATACAGCGCCCAAGTTTTCCTCTGCCAGGTGACAAGAGAAACATTAAACAATACAATGGTGACAAGTTGAAAAATAAAGTCTCTATAAAATTCTCCAGAACAGATCAACTATTTTATTTAACAAATAAAACTGAAACAAATAATTAAAATGAGGTAAACAGGGGCCCTGGTAGGTTAAAAAAGAGATTTGAACAACATATTAACAAATTGTAATAGTAGGAACTTTTTTGCATCCTGACTCAAACAGGCAAAGGAAAGGAAAGCGTTCATACTATAGTTTAATATATTTGTGAGTTATTTTTAATTTGAGGGTTATAGTAATGTTACTGTGGTTGTTAGTCAGTCCTTTTATTTTAGAGAAACAGTGAAAAATGATGGATGACATTGTACAGTATCTTGGATTTACTTAAGAAACAATCTGGGAAAAAAAGTAACTGGGTAAGGATGAAGGTGAAATAAAATTAAGCAGAAGTTGACATGTTTACAACAGGGTGATAGGTATGGGGAATTGATTATTGTATATCTCCTCGTGTATCTTTCAAA